TTTTTTTTTTTTTTTTTTTTTTTTTTTTAGTTAAGTAATTTTTCGATTAAATTAAATAATGAAATTAATTTATTGTTTAAAGAGTGAGACGCATTTAGGAGGTTAAAAAAGCAATTTTAAGTATATCTATTTAAATATATGTACAGTAAAAAAATGAAAAAAAAATTATTCACAAATATTAAATTCAATTATTTTTAATAAAAATAAAAAAAAATTCTCAAATGTCAATGACATTAAAGTTAACTATTTTTTAATTTTATTTAACAAGAAAAATTTGTTGTGAAAAATTATTTAAAAAAAAATTGTGACAGCTAATTTTAATGTCATAATTTGTTACAAAAATTATTAATTACCTGTCACATAAATTATGAAAATTAAGTTAACTGACATCTTAATTTTTTTATTAAAAAAATTTTTTAATTCTAATAAAATGATTTAAAAAAAAAATGAAAATTAACTTAGCAGACATTTAACAATTTTTAGAATTTTTCTAACATATAAATTATGGAAAAAAAAAAAAAGTTGACATGTAGAAATTTAAAAAAATTAAAATTGCAATTTTTTAACAATAATTTAATTGTTAAATAAATTTAAAAATTGATCAAGTGACAGCTAACTTGAGTGTCATAAAAAAAAAATGAAAATAAAGTTAGCCGACATCTAAAAATTTTTATGATTTTTTCTAATAAAAAATTATTACAAAAAACTAAAAAAAAAAAATTATTTCATTTGTTAAAAACTTCAAAAACTGCAAGTGCAATTTTTTAAAAATATTTTTTAGTTATACTTTATTACACTAAAGTTAGACAACGATTTTAATTTTTTGATTTTTTTTTTTTAATTATTAAATTAGAACTAAAAAATATTTTTTAAAAATTTCATTTAGAATTTTTCAAGTTTTTTTACAAATGAAAATTTTTTTTTATTATTTTGCAATGATTTTTTTAATAAAAAAAAAATCCTAAGAATTTTTAAATGTCAGCTAATTTAATTTTCATTATAATTTAATAAATTAAGGAAAATAAAAAAATAAAAAATGTCGGCTAACTTTATTATTATTTTAAAGGAATTTAATTTATTAAATATAAAATTTTAAATTTACTAACCTTAAAAAAAAATATCCGGAAAATTAGCCAACTTGACTTAATAAATAGTGACGTAACTTCCTGTAAGTTGGTGACGGTGAGGCGCACAAGTAAACAAGAAATGGCCGACTTCATGTATTCGTTTATCATTTATTATATTACAAACTTCATGATTGTTGTGAGTTGCATTTGTTTGAGCTGAAGTTCGTCTTTGGTGGTATTTTTAAAATTAAAATCAACATCAGCTGTCAAATCTTGATTCAAAATGTGATAATATTTTATTGCATAAAAATATTATTTTAATTCAAATAATTAATTGCTACTTTCGAGGTTACCTTTATTAAAAGTAAGTTTTTATATTTTTTTTTTTAAATTTTCAATTTTCTAAATAATTTCAGTGTTTTGTTTCGTTACTTCTTTTTTTTTAGCAAGAAATTTTATGCACAATGGGACCTCCGATGATTATGTGTCCGATGTGCTGCAACGAGACGTTTGATAATTTGCAGTCACTGAGAGAACATTTGCTGAGTATGACTAATAATTTATACTGCCCAGGATGCTCTCAGAGGTACGACACCATGGATGATCTTATTCAGCACCTGGAAAAGTGCACTGATGATGATAGTCATCAAAAAAGCGATGACAGTATGTCAATTCAAACGGACTGTCGCAATTTAAAAGAAGACAGGAATGAAATTCTTATGGTAAGTTTTTTTTTATAATTTATTTGAATTTGAATTTTTTTTTTGTAAAATTATTTTTAGTGTAAAAATTTGTCTAAATTTTATTTCTTGAATTTTGATAAAAAGATTTTTTATCAAATTTTTATTTTAAAAAATTTAACTTCAATTATTAAAAATATTTAAATTAATTTTTTTATCGTAAAATTATTTTTAGTGTAAAAATTTATCTAAATTTATTTTTTTAAGTTTTGTTGAAAAATTTTTTATCAAATTTTTTTGTAAAATTATTTTTAGTGTAAAAATTTGTCTAATTTTAATTTCTTGAGTTTTCTTAAAAAGATTTTTTATTTAAAAAAATTTAACTTTAATTCTTGTTAAAAATAATTAAAATTATTTTTTTAATTAAAATTATAATAAATTAAAAATTTAAATTTAATTCTTATTAAAAATATTAAAATTGATTTTTTTTATCATTAAATTATTTTATTAAATTAGTGTAAAAATTTATCTAAATATATTTTTAGTTTTATTAAAAATGATTAATATTACTTTTAGGGTAAAAATTTGTCTAAATTTATTTTTTTTGAGTTTTGTTAAAAAATTTTTTATTTAAAAAAATTTAACTTTAAATTTTATTAGAAATAATTGAATTTATTTTTTAAATTAAAATTTTTCAGGACACCAATGTTGAAGAAATAAATTTTTTAAATCCAGTTAACAACCAACAGATGCTGATATCTGACGCGCGAACTTTAGAAGTTGATGAAAATGGTAACTAATTAATATTATTAATAATAATAAAAGTAAAAAATGTAATTATTAATTTTTAAAAATTGTGTACAGGAGACATAAAAGTTGTGGAGCCATTGGACGTAGCAAAAAAACAGCTCAAATTAGATAATGTCCAAGAAGCAGACAAAGATTCTCCTGTGATAAGTATTCCCGAGGATTTAAACACTCAAAATAATGATGAGAATGTTTTAACGATGTTGCCCGAGGACTCTGTTGAGTTTCTTGACTCGGATCAGAGTTTGTTAGAAATCCAGCATCAAGATGGTGAATTGAATGATGATGAATTTATGAAGGTCAAGCAAGAGTTGTGTGAGGTAAAAATCGAGAAGGAAGAAGAGGTAAACAGGATTTGATTTTTTTGTCTTTTGAGTCCTGTCCTGTCCTATCCTCTGGTTCCTTATCAATCATTAATTTTTATTTTTATAATGAGTCTGAATTTTGCCGACAATATTTTTTGATAATTAATTTATTTTTTTTAAATAATTTTTTAAGACTATCTCTAGACACATACATATTTAAGAAATGATCTGTTATCTTGTGAAATATTAAAATTTTTAAAGATATAAGCTCATCCCGATGTTACATTCATCGAGACCTTTCATTTGAGTACCCACATCAATTTTTCATATATATATATATATATTCTATATATGTATATATGATAAATATATAAAAAATTGATGTGGGTACTCAAATGAAAGGTCTCGATGAGTGTAACATCGGGGTGAGCTTATATCTTTAAAAATGTCAGTAATTAAGAAATAACCTTCTATTTTGTGAACTGTTGATATTTTTAAAGATATAAGCTCATCTCTATATTATACTCATCGAGACCTTTCATTTGAGTACCCACATCAATTTTTCATATATTTTATATATTTATATATATGTATATATGAAAAATATATCAAAAATTGATGTGGGTACTCAAATAGAAGCTCTTGATGAGTGTAACATCAGGATGAGCTTATATCTTCAAAAACGTCAATATTTAAGCAAGTACAGTGCAATTTAACAAAAGTCATTATTTAATATTTCAAAATTTTATTTATTTATATTCCACACGTTCCGGCAGTCACTACGTGACTGCCAAATTGATTAATTATTGGTAAAATTCGCACTAATTGTCATTAATAAGTCATTCCATATTAAAACAGTAAATTTTTTAATATAGAATGACTAATTACAATATCCCCGTAATTAATTCAGTAAATAATTACAGATAGACTCATCAACTATCTACAACTGCAGCAGCTGTGGAATAAGCTTTAACTCCGTGATCGACCACATAAAAGAATACCACGAGGGCCAAGACGTGATCGTGGAGGTGAATGGTGACGGGACAACAGAAGAAGCGACTGAGAGCCCGCCAATAAAAGTCGAGGAAAAACCTCAGCGAGTACACCCGCGGCAGAAGATGAACATCTTGAGGTCCGAGCCTACAGTCGACTCTGAAGGCCGCGCATTTGTGCGGAACGTTGTCCAGATCGAGGACTTCTGGGACAAGAAGGTTAAACCTGTGAACGCTAAGATGATTGAAAAGTTTTTCGCGAATCCCGAAGCCCCGAAGCTTCCGAGGAAAAATGAAATTCCCCAGAGGATGTACAAGTGCAAGCAGTGCCTGGAACAATTTTCCAAGCTCGCGGATTTCCGGAACCATGCTTGCTGCAACGGATCCAATCAGTGCGACCACTGTGACCAGGCTTTCGCTACTGTTAAAGCACTCCAGTTGCATATGAAAGTCCACGGTGCCTGTCTGTCGCCTACTAAGAAGAACTTTGTCTGCAGGACATGTGGGACGCAGTTCGCGTCCCATAAAAGTCTCAGGCTTCACTCCAGGATGCACGCGCCTGTTAAGGCTAGACCTGTTGACGCTCCTGAAGGGAAACCTTCTACTCGCTTTACTTGTCAGGAGTGTGGTACGAAAAATTTTTTTTAATAATACATAATTAAGAAATTACCTAGTATCTTGGGAAATATTGAAATTTTTTAAGATATAAACTCATCCCGATGTCACACTCATCAAGACCTTTCATTTGAGTACCCACATCAATTTTTCATATATTTTATATATTTGTATATATTATATATATGTATATATGATAAATATATGAAAAAATGCATGTGAGTACTCAAATGAAAGCTTTTGATGAGTGTAACATCAGGATGAGCTTATATCTTTAAAAATGTCAATATTTAAGAAAGTACAGGGCATTTTAATAAATATCTTGTGAACTATTGACATTCTTAAAGATATAAGCTCATCCTGATGTTACACTCATCGAGACCTTTCATTTGAGTACCCACATTAATTTTTGATATATTTATATATTTTATATATATGTATATATGATAAATATATGAAAAATTGATGTGGGTATTCAAATGAAAGGTCTTGATGAGTGTAACATCGGGATGAGCTTATATCTTTAAAAATGTCAATAGTTAAGAAAGTACAGTGCAATTTAACAAAAGACATTGTTTTATTTTTTTGAAAAAAAAATTTATAATAATTTCATTTTTCAGGTAAAACATTGTCAGAGTCATATCGAGCTGCTCACATGTCCCTTCACGCTGGAGACACTGTAACTTGCGCTGTTTGCAATCGGAAATTCGACTCGGCAGATAGTTTAGCTATGCATGCAGCAGTTCACCCTGAGCTGGGCGTCCAGGTGCCAGCGAATCAGTCAGAAGTTTCCGAGCAACAGTCGCCTCTTGGAGAAGCTGCGACGGAAGACGATCTTGATCAAACCAAGCCGTACAAATGTCAGCACTGCGGAAGGAGATTCACTAGGCCGCACGAGAAAGTAAAGCATGAGCGGATACATACTGGGGAAAAGCCGCATGTCTGTGAGGTATGTTTTAAGAATATATATGTAATTAAAATTTTTTTATTTTGTTAATTTTCTATTTTATAATTTTTTATCTAACAATTTGTAAAAAATTTTCTATTTCATAATTTTTTTTTAAAGTTTCTCTTTAATTTATTTTTATTAATTTAAAAAATTTTCTATTTTATTAATTAAAAAAAAAATTTAATAAATTTCTAAAATTTACTATTTAATAAATTAAAAAATTTTTCAGGTCTGCGGAAAAAAATTCCGAGTATCATACTGTTTAACTCTGCACATGCGAACCCACACCGGAGTCCGTCCGTACGAGTGCCAGCACTGTCACAAGCGTTTCAAAGCCTCCTCGGTGTACAATCACCACCTGCTGACCCACGGCGAGGAGCGGGCGTACACTTGCCCTCACTGCCCCAAGAACTTCAAAACCCGCGTCCAATTAGCCGGTCACAAAAATAGTCACACGAAACCTTTCCATTGCACGGAGTGCACGCGACCTTTCGCTTCTCTTTACGCAGCCAGAGCCCACATTGCTACGCACAAAAAGGAGAATAATCTAAAATTCACCTGCCACTTGTGCGGAGCTTCTTACGGGCGTGCTTTTGCTCTTAAAGATCATCTTAAAACCCACAAGGAAGAGACCGATGAAGCTTTACCACCTGAGCCAGCTCACGAGGAAGAAATTAATCAAGATTTTTTACTTGAAGAAGATGAAATGATTGAAGAAATTTTAGATAGTTAATAATTGTTTTTTTGTTTAGTTGTTCCAACCATTTAAAAAATAATTTTTCTTATAATTATTGATATTTAGGTCTATAAATCTGTTTTTCAAATTTGAGGATTTAAAAGTTTATAAGTTTATTTAATATAATAATAATAATAATTTAATTAATTATTTGAATGTATGCGTGGATTTACATTAAATGAATTTTTATAATAAATTTCAATATTTATTAAAGTTAATAATTTGTAATTTTACTTAATAAATATTAAATTAATTTTATTTAATTATAATTGTTATTTTATAAAATTTTTTTTTGTTCTGTAATTTTTTTATGAGTATGTTAAGAAATTATTTTTTTTTTTTTTTGTAAGATTTGAGGTATTCAATTTTGAAACAATTTTTGAGATATTAAATAAAGATCTGAATTTTGAGTCAAGTTTGGGGCTTTAAAACTAAGTTTTAAATTAAAATAGTAAGATCTGGGCTTTGGAACCGAGTTTTGAATTTTTTTGAACAAGTTCTGAGTTCTAGAACAAAGTTCTAAGCGGTTGAACTAAGATCTGAGCTTTGGAACCATGTTCTGAGAACTAAAAGTAAGTTCTGGGGGTTGGAACATGAGTTCTGAGTTATGGAACCCAAGTTCTGAACAATTTAACTGAGTTTTGAAAGAGTGAACCAAGTTCCAAGCATTTGGACCATGTTCTGAGAACTAAAGCTAAGTTCTGAGCTTTGGAACCAAGTTCTGAGAACTAAAACTAAGTTCAGAGCTTTAGAACGAGAGTTCTGAGTTGTGGAACCCAAGTTTTGAACAATTTAACTAAGTTTTGGAACAGCAAACTCAAGTTCCAAGCATTTGGACCATGTTCTGAGAACTAAAGCTAAGTTCTGAGCTCTGAAACTAACTTCTGGGCTTTGGAACCAAGATCTGAGTTATGGAACCCAAGTTCTGAACAATCTAAGTATGTTCCGAGTCCTGGAACAAAGTTCTGAATTATGGAAAACAAGTTCTAAACAACAAAACTAAATTCTGGAACAGTTAACCAAGTTCCAAGCATTTGAACCAAGTTCTAAGAACTGAAGCTAAGTTCTGGGCTTTGGAACTAAGTTCTGAGTTATGGAACAAAGTTTTGAATTATGTAACTCAAGTTCTAAACAAACAATCTAAGTTTTGGAACCGTAAACCAAGTTCCAAGCATTTGTACCAAGTTCTGAGAACTAAAGCTAAGCTCTGGGCTTTGGGATTAAGTTTCTAATTACGGAACCCAAGTTCTAACCAACAAAACTAAGTTCTGGAACAGTAAACCAAGTTCCAAGCATTGAACCAAGTTCTAAGAACTAACGCTAAGTTCTGGGCTTTGGAACCAAGTTCTGAACAATTTAACTAAGTTCTGAGCTGCCAAACTCAGGTTCTAAACAATAACTAAAGTTTTTAACTAAATTCTGATCTTTTAAATTAAGTTCTGGGAACTTAAACCCAGATCTGAGTGTTCCAACTAAATCACTGAAATCTTGAACCAAGATGTGGATTATTAAATCTAATGATTTCGTTCAATAAAAAAATTTATTATTGCAAAAGTATAAATTTTATTTAATACTTTATCTACATTATTATGGTACTAGTGCATTGCACCTTAAAAATACATTTAAAATAATTAGTAATTTATAATATACAATTTAATATCAATCATTCTCTAGTTTTTTGAATTAGCAAAAGCAAGTAACTCAAGAAATTCATAAACATCAGTTATATAAAGCGTTAGTAACTTGGGACTAGGCTTTAGATTTTTTATTAATTTTTTGACGTCTTCCCTGAAACAATAAAAAACAATTAATAATTAATAATACAATTTTAATTAAAATTGATACGCAAATTAAATGCTTACTTTACTGTTCCTAAAATTGGAACAATTTTAATGTCTTCAGGAGTTACGGAAGGATATCTTGCAATATTAATTATCAGTTTGATAATAGTCTCCATTTTTTTAGTGCGCACTGTGACGGTAACTCTATAATAAAATAAAAATTAGTTTTTGATACAAAATATTTCCAAAAATTAAAAAATGTCTCTTAAAAAAAAAAAAACTTACATGTCTCCATCAAGTTCCATCAAATTAACCCGCCAAAGTTTCACCATCTCATCATAAAAATCATAAACAAAGTGAACTTTCTCAGTGACATCTGCAATAAGCTTAGGAACATCCGCATATGTTAAATAATCATCCGCCATTTTGTCGCAATCAATTGCTCTGACAATCAACCTATCCGTCATCTTAAGCATCTCTGAATCTGCATCATTAACCCTTGGAACCACACAAATCTTTGAAATTTTCTCCTCCGCTATGACCTCTATTTTCACAGCAAGCACCAGCGCCGTCTTGCGGAACTCTATGCAAATAACTTCCGGATGAATGGTGTGAATCTTCCACAAACACGACCTGCTCTTCGCGTATTCTTCTAATCCCTCCTTAAGAATATCAAACCTAGTTTTGGACTCACTTTGCCTTTTAGTTCCAAGTTCCAGAGTTTTTATCTCCATCCTTTTAAATTGACCCAGCCGACTGGCTTTCAATTTTCTGTTATCCATTTCATCTCTAAAAATAAGCTTCTTTAGCCTAAGACTAATTTCGCTCATTTCAACATTTCCAATTTCGGGTAAGTAAACTTTTTCAATTACATTTTCTTCACTGCATTCATGATATTCTTCCATCATTAACTCCTGGCGTTCATTATTATCCAAATCTTGCTTATAAATAAATTTTTTTCTATTAATTTGTTCTTCTGCTTCATCGTCTAAAATACTTCGCTTTAGTGAAGTTCCACTCAGATCTCCAGTAAAGATACTTCTAATATCACTTTCTTTCAATTTAGAATTAATGTATTCAATTGCATCATAATTTTCTTGTTGTTCCATATTTTGTTCCAGATCTTGTTGTTCCATACCTTGTTCCAAATCTCGTTCTAGAGCTGGCTGTTCTATATCTTGTTCTAGATCTGGTTGTTCTATATCTTGTTCCAGATTTTGCTGTTCTCGATCTTGTTCCAAAACTTGTGAAAAATCTTGTTGTTCTTGATATTGTTCCAGAACTTGTCCAAGATCTTGTTGTTCCAAATCTTGTTTAAGATGTCGTTGTTTAATACCTTGTTCTAGATCTTGTTGTTCTTGATCTTGTTCCAGAACTTGTGAAAGATCTTGTTGTTCCAAATATTGTTTAAGATCTCGTTGTTTAATACTTTGCTGTAGATCTTGTTCCAGATCTTCCTGTTCTTGATTTTGTTTCAGAACTTGTGCAAGATCTTGTTGTTCGAGATCTTGTTCGAAATTTCGTTGTTTAATACCTTGTTCTAGATCTTGTTGTACCCGATCTTGTTCCAGAACTTGTTGTTCTAAATATTGTTTAAGATCTCGTTGTTTAATACCTTGTTCTAGATCTTGTTGTTCCCGATCTTGTTCAAGATTTTGTTGTTTTAGATCTTGTTGTTCAAGATCATTATGTTCCAGATCTAAAACAGAATCTCTTATAACATGACCATCCAGATCCAGATCACTAGTATACATAAAAGATGGCGTTTGTTCCAAGAACACAGAAGTAGCTCCAATATCATTCCCCTGAATTTTATCATCAAATTCCACAAAAGTTTCTTTAGGATTTAATATAGAAATTCCTTCTAAATTATCATGACGTTCCACACTTTCTCCAGAACCAAAACTAGGAACCACATTACAATTTTCTGTAAGATCTGGAACAGTAATTTCAGATCGATTTGTAAGAGATGGAATTGCTACTGTCATCTCCATAGATTCTTCCAGAGAATCATACTTAGGAAGCTCAGGAATATCAGGTATATCTTCCAAACCCTGGTGCAGAATCCGGTGCAGCATGTCCATGGAAGCTTTCCTGTCAACTGGGCAATCACGAGGGTTCTTGGGGTTCGGACTAGAAATCACCGATCTTGGAGTTCTTGGATCTGCGATACACTTGTAACTGCGTTTTAAACAGGGATTTAAAGAGACTGTGTTCTCCATGAAGTAGCTGGTGTGTATGTCCTGATTTTGGTCTCGAGGATGAATTGTCTGGGTGATTTCCGCGTCAGTTCGTTTTAGAGATTCACAATGGAATTTAAGATCGTTTTCATTGATAGGTCTCAAATTTGGAGCTATAGCTTCAGTTAGTTCTATAGATTTATTGTGAAAAAATTCCGTCTTATCTTCAGGAACTTTGTACGGTGACTTTGTTCTAGAACAGATCGCTTCAGTTTGTTCCATAGATTGGTTATGAAAAAATTCCGTTCTATCTTCTAGAACTTTGTGCAGTAAGTTCGTCCTAGGAACCGCTTCAGTAAGTTCCATAGATTTATCATGAAAAACTTGGGTTGTATCGACTGATTTGAAATTCAGTAAGTTTGTTCTTGGAACTGCTTCAGTTTGTTCCATAGATTGGTTTTGAAAATATTCTGTTTTATCTTCAGGAACTTTGTGTGGCAACTTTGTTTTAGGACAGATCATTTCAGTCAGTTCCATAGATCTGTTCTGAAAAACTTCCGTTCTATCCTCTAGAACTTTATGCAGTAAGTTCGTTCTAGGAACAGCTTCAGTAAATTCCATAGATTTATCATGAAAAACTTGTGTTTTATCGGCTGATTTGAAATTCAGTAAGTTTGTTCTAGGAACTGCTTCAGTTTGTTCCATAGATTGGTTCTGAAAAACTTGAGTCCTGTCATTACTAAAATGCCCTTTTAAGTTCGGTACCGCTTCAGTAAGTTCCATAGATCTGTTATTAAAACCTTCTGTTCTATCAACAGCCGATCTGAAATTTGTTCTAGGAACAGCTGCAGTGAGTTCCATTGATCTGTTATTAAAAACTTCTGTTCCAATGGTCAGTAAGTTTGTTCTAGGAACAGCTTCAGTAAGTTCCATAGATTTATCATGAAAAACTTGTGTTTTATCACCAGCTGATCTAAAATTCGGCAAGTTCGTTCTAGGAACAGCTTCAGATCTATTATTGACAACTTCTGTTCCATCAGCTACCGATCTGATATCCAGTAAGTTCGTTCTAGGAACAGCTTCAGTAAGTTCCATAGATTTGTCATGAAAAACTTGTGTTTTATCACAAGCTGATCTGAAATTTGTTCTAGGAACAGCTTCAGTGAATTCCATAGATCTGTTATTAAAAACTTCTGTGCCATCAACTGCCGATCTGATAGCCAGTAAGTTCGTTCTAGGAACAGCTTCAGTGAGTTCCATAGATCTGTTATTGAAAACTTGTGTTTTATCAACAACTGAATTAAAATTCGTCAAGTTTGTTCTAGGAACAGCTTCAGTAAGTTCCATAGATTTATCATGAAAAAATTGTATTCTATCACCAGCTGATCTGAAATTCGGCAAGTTCGTTCTAGGAGCAGCTTCAGTGAGTTCCATAGATCTGTTATGAAAAACAGTTTTTTCAGCAGAACGCAACAATGAAGGAACTACTTCAGTAATATCCATGGACTTATCAAACACCAAAGGTGCTTCATCACCCAGACAGGACCTAATTGCCTTTGATGGAACCACTTCAGTGAATTCAATAGACTCGTTCCCAAATATTTGAGTTCTGTCACGTTCCTCAGCATCCGCGACAATCGTGCATTCCATTGGAACATCCTCGGTGTTAGTTTCATTTAAGTTCTCTTCGTCGCAGTAAACCGCGAACCCTGAAGCCTGAACCGGAACATCTTCAACTTCCACGAAGGAACTCTCGACAGTCTCCAGGCCCAGGATCTCAGGCATGTTCTCTTTGTTTGCCAGGATCTCGGGATCGACGTGCGAAATTCTTGAGGTGCATGATTCTGTTGGGAACTTGAACTCGATCTCTGGTCGCACCATCAAACTTAATCTAGTGTCTTCTTGGATTTGAGTACTCTGGTAGGTTATGTTTGTGCTAGTTTGGATCACTAGAGACTTAGTATACTCACTGTGGCTCATTCTTATCTGACTGGAGTCACTTTCTTCGTATGTGCTGTCCCAGACTGTCCCTTGTTCTATTGAATCCGCGAATTCTCTAATTAAAAAAAAAAAATTTTTATTAAGTAGTAATTTTTTTTTTTTTTGGAACAAAATAAATATTATAAATTTATCTACAAAAAATCTAATTATGTCTCAAAATAATTAAAATTAATTATACTAAAATTAGTCGACGTTAAAGAATTTTTTCTCTCAAATTAAGATGATGTTTTTCAAAATTATTTACTTGATTCAAGTCAATTTTTTTTTCAGTGTAACTTAAATAGTAAAAAATAATTAATATACTTGACGCTTTTCTTCTCAGCAAAACTGACTCGTCGCTTTAATTGTTTAGTTGGACTGCTTTCTTCAGAAGAATTTGACTCTGCATTTTGAGAGTTTGACTTTTTGGGTAGTTTGAGAATCTGAAATTATTTAAAAAATTTTTTTTAATAAATTTAAGTTAGGTTACATTCACAGTAACTTATTAAAAAATAATAAAAATTTATAATTTTAAATAAAACAAGAATTTTTTGGTTTTATTTAAAAGATAAAATTTTAAAAAAATTATTTAGTCTTTCAAAATTTCTACAATTAAATTAAAAAAAATAAATAAAAAAATGTCTGTTAAATTTAATAGAAATTACTGAAAATAAAAAATTAATTACCGATGACCTTCTGGAACTTTTTGATGTTGCGGGTAACCTAAAACAAAAAATATATAATTATTATTATAAAAATTAAGTTAGCAGACATCTAAAAATTGTTAGAATTTTTTTTAATGAAAAAATTTTATTTGCAAAAAACTTTATGTGCAATTTTTAAAGAATATTTTTTTGTCCTAATTTAATAAATAAAAAGAAATCAAATACTCAAAAATATCGGCTAACTTTAGTATTATATTATTATTACAACAATTAAACTCAAATTTGAGAAAATAAATTTTTAGAGGTTTGGTTTGTAAATAATTGATATTTAAGATAAAAAAAATATAATTTCACATTAATAAACTTAAAAAAAAAACTAGCTAATTAATAACAAAAAAAAATTAAACAACTTACATTGTTAGACCGCCAGATTAATTGTTTTTATTTATTATATTTATTTGACAAATTTGAATGTTACTTTTTTACAACTGACTGTTGATTGTAAACAAACTTCACTAAGTCGGCAGGTTAAATTTTAGACTTACCTACTTGTGATATAAATAATGATACTTTAATAACAAAAAAAAATTAAACAACTTACATTGTTAGACCGCCAGATTAATTGTTTTTATTTATTATATTTATTTGACAAATTTGAATGTTACTTTTTTACAACTGACTGTTGATTGTAAACAAACTTCACTAAGTCGGCAGGTTAAATTTTAGACTTACCTACTTGTGATATAAATAATGATACTGAACTTAGTTGACACCTGTCAATTTTAAAAATTTTTTTAACAAATTAGTAACAATGATAGAAACATTTAAAAAAATTTCCACTATTTATTTATTTTTTAATTTTCACATGTAAAATATCAATATTAAATTTTTATCATAATAATTAAATAGTAAAACCATTTTTAATGTCTGTGAATTTTAGAGTGTCACTAAAAATATTAGAAAAACTTTCTCGTATTTTTTTTTTTCACAAAAAAATAAAATAAAAATATTAATTTTTAAATTTAAGAAAATTTTTCTAAATTTTCATTATTAAAAATAATAATAACAATATTGTTTATTATTAAAAAATAATAAACAATTAAAATGTACGGGTTAAATATTTAATACCAAAAATTGCCACTAGGTGTCAGCACTTGTGTCAAATTTCTAAAAACATAAAAAATTACAAAAATTCTAATAAAAAAAAAATTAAATAATCATAGAGTAATTAAAAAACAAATTATTTCTACAAAAGATAAGTACATACTTACAATTATCAAAAACGTCCTTGGAAAAAAAAATAGAATATCTGTACCGCGCATGCGCATAACAAAACATGCGCGCGCACCCGCTTGTCCATCTGGCTCCCGGTCTATTCAGGTCCGCCATCTTTCGCCGCAAGCGTGTCGCCGCGTCGTTTATTTTCTCGTGTGTTTCCAGTAAAAACAGCTCAGGTGAGTTTTTAATTACTCTTAAAAAAACAATTAAAAATAAAAACAAACTGGACAATTTTTTAATTTTCTTAAAAATAAGTGCAAAGTTTCCGGGAATTTTTTTTTTTAAACAAACTCCAAAGTGACCTTGAAAAATAATTTATAATTCTTCCATAAAAATTTTCTTTTATTTTTTTCTAAAAAAAAATAATTAAAATAATTTTGACAGAAAATTAAATAAAATATAAAATAATATTTTTTATAAAAAAAAATTCAATAGTGATAAAAATGGCGGCGATGACTCTCAACGCCGGGTTTAGCTTGGCCTGTTAGTGGGAAAATATTTAAAGCTTTTTGATAATTAACAGTAGTGGGGAGAGTCAGTTTGGCGTCAGGGGCAAAGAGAAGCTAGTGCGCCATAATCTAGTGGGGGTTTACACGGCATCATTTTGTTTCCCCGCATCTATATTATACTTTATAAAACTTGTACACTTAAATACACTTATTATTGTATTATTATATATATTACATACTTTATTATTATTATTGTTACACGTCTTACTAGTCGTATTATTCAATTGATATTCTGTTTGACGGAAAATTACTGCGATGTAAACGTCGCCATTTATTTATATCACCATTTTATAGTTAATCAATAATTTAACTAACGAATAATATTTAATTGTGTTTGTGTTTTTTTTAAGGATGCCATTTCGGGTATATATTTTATAATAATAATAATATTAATTAATTAATTAAAAATAATTATTTTATAATATAAATTTAAACGGAGTGTTTTTTTTTTTTTAGGGCCAAAAAAGAGGCAAAATGCCAGGCTTCAGTAGCGTGGGTACTTTCAAGATTTTCATCGGCAACCTTGCTGATAAAACCTCCAATTCGGATATCAAACCTCTTTTTGAGAAGTATGGTAAAGTTGTCGAGTGCGACGTCGTTAAAAATTATGGATTTGTTGTGAGTATTTTTTATTATTATTTTTATTTTTTAGTGAAGGTTAAATTGTTCATTGATTATATAAGAAATTATTTAAATTTTTTTTTTGTGGGAATTTTAATTTGTTTTTTTTTTTTTTTTTTTTTGAGAAAATTATGTAAATATTTATTATACAAGTTGGAAATTTTTTCTAAAGGGAGTTTTATTTATTTTTGGAGTAAAAAAATCGGAGAAAATTTTTAAGATTGATATTTGGTTCATCTTGAGTTAAGAGCAGCTATTTTTAGAATTATCTGAAATCAATAACGATGAAATTGATTTTTTTTGCGGACTTGTGAATATCTGAACTAAAAAATGAATTAAAAAATTATTGTTGATTTTTTTTATTATTTTTAAATTTTATTACTGATGAAAATAATTTTTAAACAAATGTCGGAGCATATTAATGAATTTTGTAAAATATTTTTTTTAGATGAAATTAACAATTTTAAAATAATTAAAAATTTGACAATTTTTTTAATTTTTCTTTAAAATAAAAGTAATTCTGTAAGTAAAAAATTAAAAAAAAAATTTTTTTTTACCAAAAATTATTTCATAAATTAAATGAAATATACTTAAAATACTTGTACTTATTAAATAATAAATTTGAGTAATCTTGCAGTCACTAGGTGGACTATAAATAATGATTGTTGTTGAATTGCACTCTACTTTCTTAAATATTGACGTTTTTAACGATAGAAGCTCATTCCAATGTTACACTCATCAAGAGCTTTCATTTGAGTACTCACTTGCATTTTTGATATATTTTTCATATATATAAGAAATATATGAAAAATTCATGTGGGTACTCAAATGAAAGGTCTTGATTAGTTTAATGTCAGGGTGAGCTTATATCTTTAAAAATGTCAATATTTTACGAAATACAAGGTCATTTTTTAATTATTGACATTTTTAAAGATATAAGCTCATCCTAATGTTACACTCATTAAGAGCTTTCATTTGAGTACTCACATGCATTTTTGATATATTTTACATATTTACATATACATAATATATATAAATATATAAAATATATAAAAAATTGATGTGGGTACTCAAATGAAAGGTCTTGATGAGTGTGACATCGGGATGAGTTTATATCTTTAAAAATGTCAATAGTTTACAAGATACAAGGTCATTTCTTAATTATGTATCTATGTAGCCTAAATAAAGTAAAAAATAATTTTCACAGCATATGGAAAATGAAGAGGCAGGAAGAAACGCAATCCAAAACTTGAACGGAACTCCAGTCCACGGTCAGCCGATAAAATGCGAAGCCGCCAAGAGCCGAAAGGGTCCAAACACCCCAACTACTAAAATCTTCGTGGGTAACCTGACGGACAACACCAAGGCTCCGCAAGTTCGTGAGCTGTTCGCCAAGTACGGTACTGTCGTCGAGTGTGACATCGTGCGTAACTACGGGTTCGTGCATTTGGAGGCCTCGGGCGACGTTAATGACGCGATCAAGGAGTTGAACGGGCAGATGGTTGACGGACAGCCGATGAAAGTCCAGATTTCGACGAGCAGAGTTCGTCAGAGGCCGGGTATGGGCGATCCCGAGCAGTGCTACCGCTGCGGACGTGGAGGTCACTGGAGCAAAGAGTGCCCCAAGGGTGGAATGGGTGGTGGGCCCGACAGAAACGGGTTCCGGGACAGGATGTTCGGGCGCGATCCTTATCCACCACCTCCACCACCGCCGTTCCTCAGAGACAGGATCATGGGTGGTCGCGGATTTGGAGTAAGTTGTTTTTTTTTTATTTTCAAAGTTAGAACTTTATTCAAAAAAATGTTCTCTATTATTTTTAAGTGAAGAGAAATTTTTTTTTATTTAAATATGAATTTAATACTAGCAACCTTGCAGTCACTACGTGACTGCCGTGACTTGTGACCTTTAGTTAAATAGAATTTTGCTTTATTAAATAATAAATTTTGCACTGTAATTTTTTAACTATTGACGTTTTTGAAAATATAAGCTTATCCTGATGTTACATTCATCAAGAGCTTTCATTTGAGTATCCACATCAATTTTTCATATATCTCATATATTTATATATATATTATATAAATGTATATATGAAAAATATATTAAAAATGCATGTGGGTACTCAAATGAAAGGTCTTGATAAGTGTAATGTCCAGATGAGCTTATATCTTCAAAAATGTCAATAGTTAAGAGATTATATTGTATTTTGTCAATTTATGATAATTTTTAAGATATAAGCTCATCATGATGTTACATTCATCAAGACCTTTCATTTGAGTACCCACATCAATTTTTCATATATTTATATATGTATATATGAATATATGAAAAATATATAAAAAAATGCATGTGGGTACTCAAATGAAAGGTCTCAATAAATGTGACATCGAAATGAGCTTATATCTTTAAAAATGTCAACAGTTCACAAGATACTTGTTAAAATGCCCTGTACTTCCTTAAATATTGACATTTTTAAAGATATAAATTCATCCCGATGTTACACTCATCAAAACCTTTCATTTGAGTACCCACATGCATTTTCATATATTTTTCATATATTCATATATATAATATATATAAATATATGAAAAATTGATGTGGGTACTCAAATAAAAGGTCTCGACGAGTGTATCATCAGGATGAGCTTATATCTTTAAAAATGTCAATAGTTCACAAGATACAACGTCATTTCTTAATAAAAGTATAAAAAATTTTAATGAAAACAATTTTTAGGAGTACGATAGCTACTACGACCGCCGAGGTTTCGATGACTCCCGCGATTTGTACGAGAGAAGATTCAGCGGGATGTCCGGTCCCCGTGATATGGACAGTTCGATGCTTGGTCGCGATTTCCCTCCGATGTCGATGCCTCCATTGCCCGCGAGACGCGACCCCATGCCGCCTATGCCCGCTCTAGGCATGGGCACCATGCGCGACAGCGGTTTCTCCCGCGGCAACGACTACGGTATGTTCAGCAGACGCTCACCACCCCCCAGTGGTAACAATGGCCGCTTCAGGTAAGTTATCACGTCTAATTTAATCTTAATTAATCAACTGTTAGTTTATTTTTCCAAGCGGCACTGTGAAAATAATTAACGCGTTAGAAAATTCGAATTGGGATTCGGTGATTTTTTTTCCCAAGTCAAGCTCGTTTATTTTTATTTTTTTTTAATGGCTATTTATTTTTCTCATTTCATTAATTAATTAATCTATTTATTAATTTAATCAGTCTTTGTTTTATTAATTTATTAATTAATGGATAATATAATAATTAGAAGAGTTAGAAATTAGAATCGATTATTTATTGTGACGCTGTTGTAGTAGAGGCATGTACGAGGACTTCAGCAGAGACTCGTTTGAGGAGCGTAGGTAAGTCAAAATAATAAATAGATCAACTTGAGTCCATAAATAATCCTTTCTTTTTATTTTATTATTTTTTATTGAATTTTTTTTTTTTTTTATTTAATTATAAATCCCCGTTTCCCTATTCGTTTAACGAATAACTTTCCTACGCTCAACTTTTCTCAACGTCGCGTTTTTCTCGGTGCCGCTTATATGTAATTTACTATTTAGAAAATTTAACATAATGTGGATAAGAATTTATTTTTATGTATATATTTTTTTTTTCTTCTGTTAAATTAATAAAATAATTAAGGTAGTTTCGCATCCACAGCTCTAAAAATTTATTTAATAAAAAAAATCACCGAGATCATTTATAAATTCATTATATCATAACTAGCAAACTTGACCTTTGTGAAATTGCACTGTATTTTCTTAAATATTGAAGTTTTTAAAAATATAAACTCATCTCGATGTTACACTCATCAAAAGCTTTCATTTGAGTACCTACATGCATTTTTGATATATTTTTCATATGTACATATATGTAATATATATAAATATATAAAATATATGAAAAATTGATGTGGGTACTCAAATGAAAGGTTTTGATAAATGTAATGTTAGGACGAGCTTATATCTTTGAAAACTTCAATGTTTAATAAAGTACAGTGCAATTTAACAATATATAAAAACATAATTAAAAAATGACCTTCTATCTTGTGAAATATTGATATTTTTAAAGAAATAAGCTCATCCTGATGTTACACTCATCAAGACCTTTCATTTGAGTACCCACATCAATTTTTCATATATTTATATATATTATATTATATGAATATAT